TTATTTTAGGTTCATGTTGTTTACGGTATAAATTTCATTTTCATGGATGAAAATAAGGTTTTCAAAATCGGATTGGATCAGACGGTTGGATTAGAAAAACCGAGAATCAATCTGGTGATTAGTTCCATTTTATCCCATAATTGTTATTTTGTTAAAAATCGTTTATTTGATCAATAAACCGTTGATCTGGGCAGTCAAACCGTTTATTTAAAATATATATTTTATTTTTTTGTCAGAATGGGTTRTTCATTCGATTCGAAAGATCAGACCATTTGACCTGAAAACCGAACCCCTGACCAGTTCATTGTCCTATTCGATTTTAAAAACCTGGGTAAATATTGGTGCAATTTGGATATACTTGAGTTGGGCTTTTGTCAAATTTTGAAAGCGTATCTGCGGCTTCTATGTTGGGGTGAGCTGTATTGATTAGGATGTGGTCGCCAAACACCTGTGTTTTGGACAAACTACTTGGAGTAGTTTCAGTTTATAGTCATGTTTGTTGCGTTCGGAATGTTAATATTGGCTTTTTGGATTTTTACCAAATACAGCTTTTATGAATTCCATATGGAGCCAAGCTCAGAACACGAAAAGCCATGTCCCAAAAGTCTTCTCAAACAAGCACCGAATGGGCCAGATTCCAAAGCTCGAGCCCAAGCAATATAAAATGCTAACTTGGGCCAACTTGAGTTACACCCCTAGGTGTAAATYCGCTGGGATGCAAAGTGGTTGAGTATAAATTCTGGTTTAATTTTCTTCCAATTAAACTTTGCTTATGAGGTTCAAATTCTGGTCCCCACATTATATGAAAAAATTGAAGCATGAGAAAGGTGGTGCAACTTTTGCATCAGTTTTTAGAATGCAAAATTTATATTGCTAATGAGTTTAAATCTATACAATTTTAAAAATTATGAATAGCCTCAAGAATATTTCTGAAATTTTTTGAGGACAAAATTTACCCCTTCACATTTAAATATATTGATAAAAATGAGGGAAAATAGGGTAATCGGTTATTGATATTAAATGAGTTGAGAAAAGGTAATTTTAAGATATTCAATGCATTTAATTCCCTTTCATTAAATCCAACATTTAAGGTATTAACTTCCATTCACCTTCATTCAATCATATATTTGAGAATTTTTTTGTTTCCTTTCATCATTAAATTCTATTAATAATTCAATACGTAATAAATTAATAATTTCATTAACATAAAAACTAATACTTTTAAAAGCTACCTGGAAAAAAATAGTGTTTTCATATACTTAGAACATTTCTAATGTTCTATATTCATCATACTAAATAAAAATAATTGTAAAAATAAAAATTTGTGATGTCACAATTAAATAATAAAATTTAAAAGTAGATAAAATGTAATACAAAATTTAATGTCAACCTAGAAATCAAACTATTTTCATTTTTTGGTGGTGGGTTAGTGGTTTGGGTCAAATAGATTAATTGATGATATGATAGTTAAATAATAAATCTTTAAAAAAAATAAAAAAAGTACATAATTATGTCAAACAAAAATTAAGTGTGATAAGTTATAATTATTTATATAATATAGATGAAAAAGAAAAGCTATTTTTTTTTATCTAGATGGTGGGTCAATGATCCAACTTTTCAAAGAAACTCATGATGTCATAATTGAATAATAAATATTTAAAAAATATAGAACACAAAAAAAAGAAAAAAATATAGATTTTTTTTGAAAACATTTGGGAACATTTCTAATGTTATATACTTATATATTTATCATATTAAATAAAAATAATAGTTAAAATAAACATTATTTTTATTTATGATTGAATGATAGAAATAGAATACAAAATTTAATAATAATAATAATAATAATAATAATAATAAAAATAATAATAATAATAATAATAATTTGTTATTGTATTTTAAAATTTTCATGTGCAATGCATGTGCACATTTACTATAAGTATTTATGTTTATTTTAAATCATATTTTTACTTTTGTTAATTTTCAAAATTTATCTTAACTATGATATATCTAAAACCTAAGAAATTAATATGAAGAAAAATCATTTTTATTTTCCACTAGGGATGGCAGTTAAAAAATACAAACCAAAAGTAACAAGTTTCAAACCCAAGTCATTTGATTACAATAATAATTAATTAACCATTATGCCAACCTTAATTACTTATTAAAATAGAATGTTCTTTTATACTTAAAGTAATCTTTCTTGCCTTGGTGGATGTTTTCTAAAAAATACTAAAATTTGATTATTAATATTTATATAATAATAAGATGAATRCAAATTATATTTATTTATTAAAAATTAAGGTATTTATTAACTTGTATGCATTAATAAATATTAACTAATAAATGACTTAAAAATAATATTAACTAATAAATATTAGTATATATACACAGACACACACATACATTTTAGTTCTATTATTTTTCAACGGTTAATAATTATATCCCGATACTTTATATAAATCATTAAAGAATGGTTTTTATGTTTAAATAAATTAGTTATAATCACATAAAACTCTTGTTCATATTTTTAAGTTTTTTTTTTTATTTTCTAGTGTATTCATGCATATCTTGATTTTTCGTCCGTATCTATGCATTTCCAAATCGTATTTCAATACGTTTCTTAAAATTACCTTTCTGATACACCTTGCGTTTTCGATACTTTGAACCTTGATTACATTAGCTAAATGAGAAACCTGAAACACTGTGAATCCATATTTGGTAAAAGCCTTACATGAATCAAATCCAGATGAGCCCAACATTGCGGAGCAATAAGGAGCATTTAAATTTGCTGACAAGATGGTTGTTTTTGTTTTTGAAAACAAAAACAATTGCCATGCCAGCAAAATATTTGCTAACTTCTTCCAAAAATTGCATTAGATTCGTGACGCAAAACAAAACGCATAAAAGGGAGGATATTGTGTTCCTAAAAGGGCCGGTCCAATCAGAGCCTCACATGATAAATTTGAGTTTTTGTACTGGCTGGGCCTGGGCTGGAAAACTCATGCCCCACTTAAAGTCAGGTTGGGCTTGGGCTGAGGCCTTGGATAGCCCGATAAATCCAAAAAGAAGAAGAATTATTCTAGCGGAGACATAGCACACCTTGCCCGGTTGCCCCTAATCCAGAGAACAATATATTCTTCTTTACACAGAGACTCAGCACCACCAGAAAATAGGATCAAAACAACAGAAAACACTAGAAAAAAATACATCGCTGAGGAGGGCATCGGGCCTGGCCTCAGACAAAATGAGAAACCACATAAAAAAGAAACCAATAACACTGGACGAGAGTGGATAAGCCCATAGTCTTCTTTAGCAAACATTTTAGCTTTCTTTGGAGGCTATAGCCTGTTTCAAAGAGATGAAAGCATTCTTTATCAATTCCCTGATTTGTAAGATAATTGGCACATTTATTTCCTTTTCTAACATTACGAAGAAAACCTACTGGTAAAGGCTTTGGCTGGTTGTAGTGGAGACCAGGATTGAGTCCCACTTTCACCTGAATTGGGGGAGGGGGGTGGTCTAGGGTTTTGGGGGAGGATTACGTGCAAATGGATCAGATCATGATCCGGTCTGATCCTATTTTTGTCAATTTTGGATAACCCTTTGTTGGATTTTTAGATCGGATAATCAGATCCAATTTTCAATGGGATCTGATTCGAATCACCCCATATCTGATCTGATCCAACTTGTATGTATGTATGTATTTATAAACATATTTACTTATAAAAGGACATGTATATATTAATATATTTATATTGCATTCTTTTGTAATTTTTTTATGAAAAGATATGTATATATTAATATATATGATGAAAATAATTAAAAAAATACTTATATATTTGTTTTTCTTTATATAAACTTTTATGTTTTTTTCTTTTAATAATTTATTAAATTTTTCATAATTCAAATCAGATCAGATCAGATTGGAATATTCAACATCCTTAYGGATTCGGATTCAAATCACCATTTGTGAGATCTGACCAGATCTTCAGATTGGATTGGATCTTGAATTCTACTATTGGATCAGATTCGAATATACCCTGATTCGAATCCAATTTGATCTGTTTGCATCTCTAGCGCTACCACTGTTGTATAACTCCATTACCTCCCCACTAAAAAAATGAAAGAAAAGAAATAAAAGTATGAAGAAACTTGATTTTCATGTTAGAAAAAGGAATCTTAATTTCACTAACACCCCTATCCTTACATTACTCCAAAAATTCTTTCAAACCCAACTACCAGCCCAAGCCTGAAATCTGTTAAGAGTTGGGCCTGGATCGACCCTTGTCAACCCAACAAGCGAGTCTGAGTTACACCCCTGCTTTGAACATTATTTCAAGGAGAAACTAAAAAAATAAATGAATTAATATAACAAGTCCATATTATATATGTATGCATTATATATCCCATGCATTATTATCATTTTCAAATAACACAAGGATAGATAAATTTTCTTAGTTAGTTTCTCATTTACTTATGACAAATCCTATTTGATCTGGCCGATGTTTGGAGCTAATGCCATTTTCTGATATATTTTTTGTTTTGAGAAAATAGTGCTACATTGGATGCTATTTTCTCTTTTTTTTTTTTTTTTGTTTGGGACCATTACTGCCACATAGGCATCTTTCAACCCACATCAGCATACTGTTGCTAAAAAAACGAAAAAACATCATAAAGGATGTTTTCTCGGACCACACTACTTTTCCCATTTTTTAGACATGGTCTAAAAAACATTTTTTTGGAAAAATGTGAAACCAAACATAAGACCTGGTCTAAAAATTTTAGATATGGTGCTGATGTAGCAGCGTTTTTTCAATTTAGTGGCTGAACTGAAAAGCTTATTTGTCATTCTTATATCCGTTTATGAGACAAGTAGGTCCTAATAACAGCTACATGAGACCACACTGATCCACTTACTTTGGTCTAGTAATCTCACAAATTATCAATGAATGAACGCCCTAGTATTGAAAGTAATTTGAAAACAGAAAACATCTGTATAAAGAAAAGAAAGAAGGAACGCAAATTCCATTGAAAATAAAAAATTTGCAACAATTAGCACTGGCATTGATCTACCACGAGAAATGAACATACACCAAATTTAATCTAAATATACTGGCCTACTTTTCCCTCCTATTTGCTTTAATTGTAAGTTTGTATTTGGGTCTCCAAAACCAATCCCGAACCCGAACTCAAACCAAGAGCGTCCCGTCCCCTTGAGGCTACGGCTTTCCAATATTGGACGTTTCATCCTTCTTTACACTTTCTGCATTTGCTGATTCTCTGTTTTTCCACTTCGTGGATAGAATGGGCTGGTCTCGGCTGGGCTGGGGAGCACTCGAGAAGTCTTGGGCTGGAGACCCAGTGGTCAATCCACTAATCGAATAGGGGCCCATAGCTTGGCCATATAGTCATTTTATGGCCTCGTGGCTGACAAGTTTCCCACCAGAGAAGAGCTGCTGTCGAGCAAAATCCCATTTGTCGAGACCATTGACTGCTTCGTTCTGGGTCAAAGTCAGTGACCCTGTCAACGCCAGCAGGGGCTCTAGCAAAAATGGTTGACTCTCCAACGAGCTCTCCTTATCACCTTCCTTCTCATTCTTCATTTCTTCCAGTAAAGCGTTGGCCGTGTCAATACCTGCTTAGACATGATTTGATCATTTAGCAATATTTTTTGCCTTAATTAATTAGAACCCAAGATGGCTTCTAACCCAGTCTGGTTCCTACCTGACAAGTATGCCCCGTGGACGTAACCACTATATTTCTCACTCGTATGTTCTCCTGTGAAGAAGATTGGACCAACAGGTGCCTACAGAAAAGAAAACCAAATATCAATAACCGTGGAAAATCATTAAAAAAAGCCCACACGCACACATCATTGTCTATGATCTCTTGGAGAGTTCTAATAAACAGTCTAAGAAATAGTTGAGGTCTCTTTAAGCCTTCTCTTGTTTTTAGATATTATGAACTGTGTAAGAGCAAAGATAGAGGTGTACATCACAAATTTGGACCGGCCCGGCACGGCTCATATATATTTTATATATATTTATATATTATAATTATATAATAATATATAATATTTAATATATTAATAAAATAAATATTTTTTAATTTTATTATATTAATTTATTTAATTATTGCATATATAAACAATTTTATACATAAAATTCATATAAAATTAAAATTTTAAGTTTTTTTATCAATTTTTTTAAATAAATAGCTTTGGCCCGAYACACGACCCGACCTGACCTAAGGCTCGGCCCACGGGCCAGCACAGCAGMCCACGGACCATGCCGTACCGGCCCGACACGGCCCACTTTACACCTCTAACCATAGACCTCAACAGAAGGGAATTGAAGCGCCCCCAACATGAAGGTAGAGCCTCTCTTCCCTCTTCCTTTCTCAGTTTCTCTCATATTTCATACTTGCCGCAGGAATTACAGCAACTTGATCCCTCTCCGGGGCCATTTTTAAGCTTCCCCAACCAGTTCCTCGTACATTCAAAGCTGACCATCAGTCCCCAGTCTTGGGCTTACAGACTGATGCACCAAATATAAGCTCAACTATTTGTTTTTCATACTTCAATTCGGATGGGAGAAGAAGCAAATTACACAAAAACTTCAAAACAGTTCCTTCAAAGTGTTCAAGATAATATGAGTAACAATGATCTTATCATGCTGATGGTATTTTAATGTAGTGCGGAAAGGAGACCGATGACTTGAAGGGGTGGTAATAACTCGACAAAAGAATGGGTTAATGAATAAATAATAAAGTAATAAAAATAGATTAAATAATATATAGAGGACCAATAATTAGAAGTATGGGTCCGTTTGGTTTGTAATTGGAATCAGAATCGGAATGGTCTGTTCATCTAATTTGTTTGATTCAAACAGGAATTGGAATGAGAATTAAAATCAGGAATGGGATTATGGGAGAGTGCCATTCCTCCAGGAATGAAAATAGGATTCCCATTTTATCCAACCAAACAATTGGAATTACAATGATCCATTCCTAKTTCGATTCCAAATCCCTATTCCCGTGAACCAATTGGGCTCTAAGACTACATTAACATTAAAAAAATTAATGAAGTGACGGATAATAAAGAGTATATATGATGAGATAAAAGAACCTTCATGTCGGCAAAATCTGGTTGATTGGCCAAGAGGGAGTAGTTGCTATAGCTGCCGCGTTGGAATCGGTTGTTCCACCAGCGGGGCACCAGGATCTCTATGGCATCCGGTACATCAGGCCCAAACATGTCCCTAAGGACCCCCATTGCTTCCTTCAGAGTCTCCTCGTCCGTTTGTGCCTCCACGCGTTTTGATTCACCATTTGTCAGCGTTACCACCAGAATGTTGGACCCCGGATATGCGTTCTCCATGTGCTGATGACGTGCAAAAATCAAAGCAGACAGCGTGGATTAATGAGCCATTCACACCCAATTTCCATATAATAAGTCATCACAATGACTACTTTTATAAGATTTTATAAACATAAGATCCATTTGGGTAAGATAAAATAATTTAAGACGATAATGATGGAGCTAATAAGATCCATCTCCATGGCTGTTTAACAGGCCACGTGTGTTGATTATAAAAGAAAGCTTAATTTACATTTTATATATCTAGGCCAAGGTTTTGATTTGTTTTTAATGTGACATGTTCGATGATCAAGCATTATATTATGTTAATGAAATGTACTTAGCAATAATATCTTGCACAGTTTTAAAAAGAAAGATAGAGAAGTGGAGAGATGAGGCTTAATTTGAGATTAGCTTTGAATGGTGGTCAGTGTAATTGCCACCTCAGGAGAGTGATTGAATGTCGTTTACTTCACCAGCAAAGAAACAAAACAAAATCAATAATGCAAACAAATGCAAGTTGCTTATACCTAATTAAGTGAAAATTAATATTTGTCTGCGGTTCCCATGCAGACGTCCAGACCTAAATTTTTTGAATGTGAATGGTGAAGGGAGAGATACATGTACAACAAATAAGTCATTTTCTTCATCAATGTGGATGAGTCCAGTGTTTCCTGGAGTTTCAGATAAAGGTGGGGATCCTTCATTACTTTATCATTTATGTCATTCATTAAGATGGCAACTACTTAGGCCCAAGTAACAGTTGGGGGTGCTAAGTTGGGCAGGCTGAGGCCATTTTAGTTAAACCCAAGCCCAACCCTGAGAATTARGCCTAAATCCTGAGTCTGAAATCAAGTCTGAACTATTCAATCCTATCTCAGCCTGTACTATGAATAAATAAATAAATATATACATGTGCATAATCGAACCGGGTTCAGGTTGGAGTAAGGTTTTGCCAGGTTCAAGCAACCTAAGGACTAGGCCTGAGATTCCTAGATGGTAAACCTAAATTTTTTGATTGTGAATGGTGAAGGGAAAGATGCATGTACAACAAATAAATCATTTTCATCTGTGTGGATGAGTTGAGGATTTCCTGCAGATTCAGATAAAGGTGGGGTTCATTAATAATGTCATTAGGATGGCAACTACTGAGGCACAAGTACCAGACTAACAGTGTTTGCTCCCCTCAAACTTGTTTATAATTTCAATACATGACAAGTTCTGTAAACTCTTATCAAAGTATTCTGTATAATCATGACCAAACTGATCCATTGATAACTCATAAAAAAATTAAGAAAATAAAATATAGAAACTAATCCATTGATAGGGCACCCTCATTTAACACACGTGTTTAACTATCAAATACCATTATCATCATCAAAGCATTTCACATTCTCAGTTACATGGTCTTAGTAATTTTTCTAATACACACAAAACCAGAGAAATTGATGCAACTCATATACACATAGATGATCTTTGACACTACACCTAACCCATATGGTATTACCAAGTTAATTAAATAAATTGCTTTGCTTAAACAATCTATACTCTGGTAAATAAGAAAGACAAAGGGGACCAAAAAGGATTTGAAGGTCTAAATCAAGATATATGTGCCTCACATTTACACTACAAACTTCACCATCAGGCAGGCATAAATATTCCACTTGTACAATTCATGGATGCGATATGAAGGAGACGACACCTAAGACATASGCTGTGACAGAACTATATATATAAATGCAGTCTTGTCAAAATACGTAAATAATTGTGGAACCATCATTCCAAGCATTCATGCATTATCCATTATAAATTATATAAATTCCAGACAAGAACTAAAGCGAATTAACTAGATGAAAAAGGGAGAGAAATCAACACCAACCTGCCAAAACGTGTAGTATCCTCTCCTCTCGTGAGCGTAGATGAAGAACTCAGTCCCCGGCCCACACGGCCAGAACTTGTATGGAAATTTGAGGAAGATCTTCGTGTACACGATCACATCACACTTCGTTATTGCCTCAGTTTTCCATTTCTGTCATAATCCAAAAAGATCAACATAAATACATAATTAGCTAGCATCAGGGGACCGTGCCCGACACGGATGTAAGAGGCCGTGACGCTAGCAACGGGCATTACCCAATACCCACTGAGAGTACTAGATTAGGGGGGACCAACGACCAAACAGAAACAAACAAAAATTGCTGATTTGTTTTTCTCCCCCTTGGGAGAACATATACGGTTCGACAGCTGGCAACATATACGATGTACCTTGGTTGCAGAACCGTACACGTGTGGTACCAGCCAATCTTCATGGACCACACAGTCCACGTGTACGGACTACGGATTCCTTTACTTGAGTATTGTAGATATACCCCAGAACGACACAAGCTGTTTCCAATACTGTGGATCGTGTAATCCATGGTATTTCCACCGAAGCGTTGACATGAGACAACTGGAAGATCTATAGCTGGCGTCACCCCCCCTCCC